TCACAGCACTTTGGAAAGAACCCGGCCCTGGCCTTGCATCACATTAAAGTTAACTTCTGCTTTGTGGTGCTTGCCTGGTGTCCCCACGCCGTGAGGCTGTGAGCTGGCGGTCACCCCGTGATTGCGTGGGGACCAGGCCGAGGCTGCCAAAAACCCCAGCCACACCGCACTGCAGCATCAGAGACTCAGCCTGCAAGTTTGCCGTGTTGTTTTGTTTTTCCTAAAGAATGAAATTTTCTGAAGATTTATTTATTTATTTATGTTGGAAAGTCAAATATACAGAGAGGAGAGACAGAGAGGAAGATTTTCCGTGTCTGATGATGCACTCCCCAAGTGGCTGAAGCCAGGAGCCAGAAGCCTCTTCCGGGTCTCCCACGCAGATGCAGTATCCCAAGGCTTTGGGCCGTCCTCAACTGCTTTCCCAAGCCACAAGCAGGGAGCTGGATGGGAAGCGGGGCCTCTGGGATTAGAATCATCACACATATGGGATCCTGGATCCTGGAGTGTGCAAGGCAAGGATTTGGCTGCTAGGCTACCATGCCGGGCCCAAAGATGAATTTTTAAAAATTAGTTTTAATTTTATTTGAGATACCAAAAGAGACAGGTCTTGCCTCAGTTCACTCTCCACATGCCTGCAGTGGCCAGGGATGGGGCAAATGAAGCCAGGAGCCAGGAGCTTCGTCCGAGTCTCCAGCTGGGTGGTGAGGCTGCCCAGGGTTGAGCCAGGACTCATGTTAGCAGAACGCTGCATCAGAAGCAGACTGGCTGGAACTGGAGGCACTCCCACAGGGAAGGCTGGCTGAGGCATAACCCGCAGTGCCCAGGACCCGCCTCAGGTCAGTGTTAGGAGCTGGTGTGTAGTGGTGTAAGGTGGTTGAAGACGTATGGCCTCACTGGGGGCCGAGCATTCCCCGAGCATGTCATAGGTGAAGTGACAGCGCCTGGCATTATAAGGAAGTGGGTTAAGCTGCCGCCTGCGACACTGGTGTCCCATACAGGAATACCAGTTGGAGTCCTCCCACTCTACTTCTGATGCAGCCCTCTGCAGCTGGGCGAGGAATGGCAGTTGAAGAGGGTAGGCCAGTGCCTTGTGTGTGGGGGCTCAGGGTGGCGTTCTGTGCCCCTGGCTTTGGCCTGGCCCAGCAGTGGTCATCTGTGGCCATTTGGGGTGAGTGAACCGGTTGTTAAATCTGTCTCTCTTGCCTTTTAAGTGAATTAATACGTCTTTGAACAACATGGCATGATGACCGTGGGTACTGTGAGAATCTGGGTGGCAGGGCAGCCTGGGTGGGGTTGCTGGGGTGGTCTGATGCCCCCTGCCATCAAGACCGTTGTGTGGGTCTGGGTGAAGGTCAATGCAGGGAGTAGGAGTGCTCCAGGCCAGCTCGGGCCTCTTAGAGGAGGTGGGTGGGGGTGGGCAAGGCCAGGCCTGGCTGCCAGTGGGATGGGTCTGCCCTGTTGCAGGAGGTAGTGGAGATGCAGAGTAGGGCTAAACTGCTACTTAGAAGGTCACTCTGGGAGCTGTGCAGGTGGCTCGGTATTGGGGCTGCTGTGGGCAGTGGGGAGGGGGACTGCCAGGCAGGTGTCTGCTACTATGGATGCCTGGGAGGGGTAACCTTGACTGACTCCTACAGGCTGGGGGTGCCCAGGGTGCATTTCCAAGGTGGAGATGGTGCTGGGCGTTAGTGCTGCAGCTGTGGAGGAGCGGCCTGGAGGACGGGGTGGGTGACATTCACGGGGGGCTGCCAGGAACACAGGCGTTGGTGAGGATGACCCGTCGCTCGCTCTACTGTTGTGACTTTCCCCCAGGCCAGTTATAGACTGAGTGTAGGTGGCAGGTGTGAGGTTTGAGTTTGTGGCTACCAGGGCATTCTGCCTGTCCACCTGCACCCGAGGCCCCCGCAGGATGCCACGCTGTAAGCAACAGCCTCCCTGTCCTTCGAAGACAGGGCTCTCAGACACTCAGTTATAGAAAGGGAAGAGGGACTGAGACAGCAGCAACATACCCGAGCGGGGACATTTGAGTTTGGAAATGGATGTTTTTGAAGACTGGCAGGGACCACATTTACCCCGGAAAGAGCTTGGAACTTGGAATTGGGGTTTGCCAAGAGAGAGCAAGGTTGGCCATCTCTGGGTCACTGTCCGAGTGGCCTTAGCAGGGCTGGACCAGGTGGAAGCTATGAGCCCAGAGCTCCAGCCGGTGTCGTATACAAGTGGCAGGCGGCCGGATTAGAAGTGGACTAGCTGGGACTTGGATGGGGCTTGGATTGGGCCGTCTGGGTAATGAGGTTGCCCATGTGTGGACAAGCCCTTGGTTAGCTCAGTTGTTCTCAGCGGGAGTGTGGGCGTGAGAATCTCAGGGTCACGATGCAGATCTCGTGTGGGAACAGCTGTGACGCCTCCAACACAGGACCTCTCCCTCGCCCGTCCTGGTTCATTCACAGCCATCAGGGTATTCTGCAGCCATCCTGCTGTGTCTCTGTTCTGATGTTGGCTGGCGAGTGCTAATGGGGGCAGAGATGACCAGGGCGTGGCCCCTCAGCCCCTCTGTGTCCAGAGCACTGTTGTAGGTGCTGGGGGAGGGACAGGCCCCAGGAAAACTTTCTTGTTCGCTTGAGAGGCAGGGCTACTAGCGGGGGGCGGCACCTGGGGGATACTGGTTCTGTCTTGGAGCTGGAGGGATCGCGGGTTACTCTGAGAAGAGGCTGTGCAGGCCAAGATGGACGTCACAGTGAGAGCAGCGGTTCCCCTCACATGCAGTGCACCATCCTGCACAGCCCTGTGAGGTGGCGGTACCCTGAGTGGTCCCCTTTTCACAGGGGGGTGACCGCAGCACTGATGTGGCATGGGGGAGCCAGGCCTTGACTGCTTGTCCACCTGACTTGAGTTGGATGGCTTGTGAGCTCTACTGCTATTCCTTATTCCTATTGTTGCGAGGTGCAAAAAAGTAGTCATCAGTTGTCCTGTGGACCTAAGGTGGCTTTGAACACCCAGCCATTATTAGGCTGTTTGGGGTAGGGGGATGTTGTTGCTGCCTGCAGCCATGGGCGGGTCAGCGTTTGGCTTCTTCCTCATACCTGGCTCGGGCAGTGAAGACGAGATGAACCCCAGTCTGGCACACAGTCCTGCAGGCTGCCTTGAGGCCTGGAGAAGGTTTACCCCATGGTGCCCTGAGCCTCAGCTTGCATGCAGAGTCGCCCCCTGCCCGGAGGCAGACGAGATGCGCCTGCAGCAGGACCCTTCGGATGGAGTCCAGCCATGGCCGCCATTCCCAGCGTGACGGTGCTCGCTGGCCCGACAGCTGCTTCAGGCGAGGGCCCAGTTGCCCGAGCCCAGGTAGAGTCCATCCAGCACAGGCTGCTTCGCGTCTTGTTCTCTGCGAGATTTTCCTCAGTGAAAAATCCATCTGCAGTGTCCGTGTGTAACACGAAGCTGCGAGTTCTGACTGGGGCCAGTTGTGGTCAGCACCAAAGGCAGATGTCGGGTCAAGGTTGGCATGGGGGTGACTGGCCTTGCATGTTGGGAAGGGAGCAGGGACCAGGAGGAGGCTGGGAAAGGAGAACCTGTTCCTGGGAGTCAGCCAATGAGGCCAGCTGGGGGTGCCAGCCGCTGTGAGCAAAGCTGGGATTCTGCCCTGCCATGGAGACCGGGGCAGAGGCCAGGCACAGTTTGGGGGTGGCTCCCGGGTCCTTGGAGGCTTCTCAGAGGGGCTGAGGGAGGGTTTCCACAGGAACAGCCTCCACAGCCCTCAGAGTGCACCTCTGAGACGTGCTGCACGTGTGGTTAAAACACACACCAGGTGCTGGTGTTGCGGCACCACGGATTAAGACGCCACTGCTTGTGATCCTGGCGTTCCATAGGGAACACAGGTTCAAGCCCTGGCTGCTCCGTCTTGTTTTGTTTTTTGACCCGGCTTCTGGGAAGCAGCCGATGATGGCCCCAGGCACTAGGGTCGCTGCCAGCACTGCGTGGGGCACCAGAAGTGTAGCTCCTGGCTTCTGGCTGCAGCCTGGCTCCCACCTAGCTGTTGGCAGCTGAGGGGAGGGCTCCGTCTCTCCCTGTCTCTCCGCCCCTCTGCTTTCCAATGAATGAACAAACTTGCTGACCCTCCCCCCACCTGAAAACAGGTCACCCGCTCTGTGACAATCTGCGCCAACTGCCCTTCCTTCTGTTTCCAACCCCGGTCTCAACTTGGAAGTCTCAGGGCAAGGTGTGTCCTTGGTAACCATCTCTTCCCGGCTCCTGGACTAGCCCACACCTACCGCTGGGATGTGTTGTATCCTGGTTGCCTCAGGGTGGGCTGTCGCTGTGTCTCTGTACAGAGCACCTGCTGAGGCCTGGCCAAGCCCTCACCAAGTGCTTTGCTCATGGCACTGCTGTCCCTTGGGTCTTGGTGCCCGGTAAGGTCTGTGCTGGCTGTGTAATACCCACAGCAGCGCTTTGGAAGGGAGGGGTATTTGTGAGAGCCAGGAAAAGGGGGTGGGGAAGTGCCACGTGTCCTGACCCAGGGAGGACCCTGCTGTGGGCTCCTGAGTTTATTTGCTTGTGTGTTGCACGAGTGATTCTGATTTGCAAAAACAAAACCAACCAAACAAAAATACACACAAAAAACAAAACAGGATTGTGTTGAAAGTGATTCTACTCTTCGCAGAATTGGGGGAATCCTGAAGGAGTTTTGTGCTGGGACCTCCCCCAACTAATTTGCAACCATTTGTGTTTTCTGGGCTGTTAAAGTTGAAATTGTGGAAAATCAGATACTATCTTATGTGTTGATAGGTTTCTATTTCTGGTCCCCAAAAGGCTATATATAATTACACCCACTTTGGTTGTCATCGCTAGTGATCTGGTCGAGTCATTTCCAACTTTTTATTTATCTCTGCTGCTTTTCAGTCACATGCACAGACCACACCTGACCCTTGGCACTGAGGTTGCTGGTTCCTTACTGTGTGGGATGAGGGTGGGGAAAGGGGGGCAGCAGACAGGCCTCTCTCCAGATGGACATGGACTTCAACAAGGTCACCAAGTGTAATGGAGGGATTCCACCTGCTGGCCAGGTGGGTGTTTCCAAGGAGAACTACGCCGAGAGCTGGGTGCGGTGCCCCTGATGGGCCAGACGGGCATCTCAGGGAGGGGCTGAGACCTGGGCACAGTGCCCCTGACGGGCCAGACGGGCATCTCAGGGAGGGGCTGAGAGCTGGGTGCGGTGCCCCTGACGGGCCAGACGGGCATCTCAGGGAGGGGCTGGAAGCACAGTCCAAGTTCACAAAGGGGCTTAGGAGGAAACAGGGTCTGGGTCTTCCCACCCCTTCTCACCCCCCACACCCTCTTCTGAACAATTTTCTGGGTATGACCTAGGGAAAATTCCTCCTGAGGGTTTATTGCCTGGTGTTCTTGGACTGGCGGCTCAGGTGGGGCTGGGAAGAGAGGATTTTCCTGGAGTGCCTTCCTTGGGGGGAGACTGGACCCCCCTGCAAAGTTGCTGGCTCTGGGCAGGACCTGGTCCTGTGGGGTGCGGGGCTGCTGCCCTCCCTCCCCTGAGTGCTTTGTTTTCTTAGGCCCCACCCAGCTAGCCAGGGAGGGAGGCACTGGACAGGTTACTGCCCCGCTCTCCTGCCCGCCTGTGGTCATACCGGTAGCCCGGGCTGAACCCGCACAGCCCTATCAGAAAGCCCGAGGAAAATGCACAGTGTGAGAAGCTAGTATATGGATCCCAAAATGTTTTTGCATCAAAGTAAGCTTCACTTTTTATTCCATCTTTTCATGAGCTTTTTCAAGTTCTTCCCTTCTATTTAAATATGTTTTAGGAGCCAGCACCATGGTATAGTAGGCTAAGCCTCTGGTTTTCAGTGGTATCATTCCATACGGGCACCAGTTCCAATCCCAGCTGTTCCACTTCCAATCCAGCTCTTTGCTAATGTACTTGAGGAAGTAGACAAGGATGGCCCAAGTCTCAGGGCACCTGCACCTACCTGAGGGACCTGGAGGAAGCTCCTGGCTCCTGGCTTTGGATCGGCTCAGCGCCGGCCGTTGTGGCCATTTGGGGAGTGGAAGATAAAGGTGGAAGAGATCTCTGTCTTTCCTTCTCTGCCTTTCAGCTAAAAAAAAAGCAATACTAAAAACAAAACAAAAAAAAACCTTTCATCATTAAAAAATTTTTAAAAAATATATACTTTGAAACATTTCCAGTGAGGATATTACCAAGTCTTCCGGCTGCATATGTGTATGTATGTATATATACATATATTATACATATATATCTATAAAGATATACATCACACATGTATATATAGATATACATTATATATGAATGTGTACATAAAGATATACGCCATTGTATGTATATATAGTTATACATTACACATGTATATATAAAGATTTTTTAAGTCATAAAGAAAATGTATTTATGTTTGTCTTTAGTAGCCTTTCTTTTAAAATTAAAGAGTTTAACACATAACAACTAGGTATTTATGGGACACCTGTGATGTTTTGGTCACTGCGAGACTCTGAGTGTACAGTGTCATCTGAGTGTGCAGGGATTGCCAGCAGAACCTGGGGTGGTTATGTCAACCCACTGTTTGAATGTTCTAAGAAGCTGGGTTTTCCTTTTGGTTTTTCTCATAGTTTGCCCGTGAAGTTAAAGTTGCTGATGTTTAAGGAAAGCAGCCTTACACTGGAAAAACTTAGCTGGGGTGGGTTTTCATTGCAGGGTGCATTTCGAGACCATCTGTGGGTTTGAAGTGAGGCCACGGCGCATGGCAGGGCAGGCCTCCGCAGCGACGTCCCCGGAGAAGGAAAGTAGGAAAACCACACAGAAACCCCCCTGCATGGGAGGAGCTCGCCAGGGAGGTGTATGTGGCTTTGCAAGCTAGCTAGCTGCATCCTGGACAGGCTCACGGGGTCCCAGTGACATTCCTTTCCCTGCCTAGTAATTCCCTTGTGCCACTCCCTGGGAGCTGGACTCAGCTACACCCTCTGGGCGGGGATTCAGCCCTTTGTTCTCAACTCCGGAGCTCGGTAGTGCTCCCGGAAATACGGGCAGTGCCTAGTCAGTGCTAAGTGGCAGGATTTTCGTTCCTGCCTTCCACACGCCCCTCACCATTGGGCCTTGCTGACCCACCCCTTCGTTTGCAGTTCCTGTCTGTGTCTTTTAAAGCTGGTAGAATCCCGAAGGCAGTATGTCGGCTGATGAATATTCACTAGGTGCTAGCATCATTTCCAAGCCCTCTCTGATGTGTAGGAGCACGCGGGACTCAGTGCTGTGTGGGATTACCATTGTGCTGACCCTCACAGGCCCCGCTGAGGGTCCTCATGCCTGAGCTTTGGCCCTTTCATCTGGAAGAGAAGAGGAAGCTGGTGGGGACCCTCGGAGAGCAGTGTGGGGAGGGGGCTGCAGGTGCACGCCGGCGTTGGGGAGTGTTCTGAGCCATTCCCAAAGGGAGGACCCATGTGCTCTGCTTCTGCTCCTTCCCCTCTTCTGTGTGTGGGTGAGCAAGAAAGACCAGCCAGCCACAGCCCTGGCTGCCTTTGGAGGGGGGCCCACCACTTATCTTTCACATGCAGATTTGCTGCTCCACGTGGCTGTAGGGTGTGGGTGGGTTTACCAGGGAACTCCAGGAGGCCCCCAGCTTTCGGGCAGTGCAGCTGGGCAGGGTGGCAGGTGTGAGTGGAGGTCCTGGAGCCTGCCAACCCAAGTGGGAGTCAGGCTTTTACCTTTTAGGGTCTGAAGCTGAGCTGGAGGTAGCTGATGGGCAGGCAGGAGCCCAGTAGAGATGAAAGCCCAGCCAGGCTCTGCACAAAGGCGGTGAGGAGGTGTGGCAGGATACCAGGCTGGTTCCTGGGTCTGCTGTCTGTGGCCTCGGTCCTGCCGGGTCACCTCCCTCCACTGGACTCCTCTGTTCCTTCAGCCCTCATCTTCCCTTTACCTTTGTTGAATCTTATGAACTGGGATTCTGTTTTTCTTTGGAAAATTTCTGGAGCAGCACATTAATCCTGGAGAATTCCTGGTGTTTGTTTTTTAGGCCTACAAGGGAATTGGAAACCCTTGCACACAGCTTCACTTATTTATTTGAAAGGCAGAGGCAGAGAGATGGGTTCATTTGTCTTCCATCCACTGGTTCACTGCCCAAATGTCTGCAGGAGCCAGCTCTGGGTGAAGCCAAAGCCTGGAGCCAGGAACTCTGTCCTGCAGTGCCACGTGGGTTCCGCTGCTTCCCCAGGTACAGAAGCAGAGCAGCAGTACACTGCAGGCCTCTGAGAGGAACACCGTCCCCCATCTTCTCCTAGGTTCTTCGTGCACCCTCATGTGACATATCAGTTGCGAGGCACAGCGGGATTTCCACTCCCCACTAGACAGGCAGTGCTACTTGCGACCTGGGGTGTTCCAAGCTGGAGAGGGGGTCAGGTGCCATAGAGATGTGAGCATCCAAGACGGCTGTCCTAGAGACTCAGACCTGGAGTCGTTGGGGTCCAGGTCAGCTACAGTGCTGCCCTGCCAGGAGTGTCCCACCAGCCTGCAGGGCTGCACACAGGGCAGCTGCCTCTCCTGCCCGTTTCCCCCACTCCCAGCAGCACCCTGGCAGCAAAAGGGTTGGGGAACACACAGGTGTCTGAACATCCAGTAGCCCTCTACAGCCCTGCAGACCCCGGGGCTGAGCAAGAGCTGGCTACGCTGCTGTGCACCAGCTCTGGCCACCTGCGCTGTGCTTCCTGCTTGGGGCTTGACCGCAAGGGAACCGGCAGCTACAGAAGTGCACCTAGGGGACTGGGGGCCTGGGCTGGGTTTCTTCTTGTACTGCCTACAGATTGAGCTCCATCCAAAAGTGTCACAACTTGCAGTTACCGGATTCTGCTGTCCTAATGGATTTGCTGAAAGCAAGAGCTGTTGGGGCAGTGTCAGGACAGCACGTTTGCTCAGCCCTTCCTTGTCCCTTTTCTGATGAATGTGACAGCACGCAGTTCTATTCATCCTAAGACAGACAGGCAGTCTCTCCACAGTGGGAGCTGTTTGCGTCATCACTTGCCACACATTTTAAGTTTAATTTGCCCCCTCTGGAAGGACAAAGCCTAGACCGTTATCGTTAAGTCTTTGTCTAAAGCAAGCATCTAAAGCCACACGAATTTTGATCCATCGTCACATTCAGTTGACAAGTATTTTCTGTATCCCTTGTGGCTTTTTTTTCCTCTTGATTGTGAGTTACATAGAGATGTGTTGTTCATTTCTGAGTATTGGGGATTCCCCCCATCCCGGAGTAGTTTTGCTGTCTTTTTCTAATTGAATGTAATGCGTACACCCATGTCTTTCATTGTACTGCAGTCTTGAACATGGTGTGACTTGATAAGGATTTCATGGGGTACCATCTAGTTGACCCTCTTTAGAAAATAACCATTTTTATCTCTGGTGGAGGTCTGTGTCTTCAAGTCTTTGTGCCTTCAACTCTTCAAGTGGTCATCACCCCTTTCTCATTTTCAACCCATCGGTGTCTTAATTTGAAAGTCTGTCTTTTATAAATTAACAGTTGAGTTTTGCTCTTTAATCCAATCTCTGCCTTTTAATTAAATGCCCATGTCATTTCTGTTTCATGTAATTGACCATGTTTAAGTGTAAGGCTGTAGGTTGTTGGTTTTTTACCCTGGTTCCCCCTTTGTTCTTCTTTCATTCTAAGTCATGGATTATCTGATTATTTTCCGTCATGTTTTATAGGCTCTTTCATTTCTTAAGGTATTGGAAGGAATATAGAATATATAGCATTTTGAAGGAGGAATATGTTAGTCAACTTTTTAGTACTTTATTTCTCTATTTTTAAAGATTGATTAATTTACTTGGAGTTACAGAGACAAAAAAAGGAAGAGATATCTTTAATTCTTTCATCTGCTGGTACATTCCCCAAATATCTGCACCAGCTGGAGCTGAGCTGGTCCAAAGCCAAGAGCCAGGAGTTTGCTCTGTCTCCCTCCCCACGTGGCTGTGGTGGCCCGGGCTCTTGGACGGCCCTCTGCTGCTCTGCCAGGAGCATCATCAGGGAGCTGGATCAGAAATGCAGCATCTGGGACCCGAATTGGTTTCCCTATGTAGGCACTGCAGACAACGTTT